CAACTGTAACGCACCCCCTACAAGAATACATCATACGATGATGAGAAAGGATGCACGTAATAGTTGAAGAAGTATGGCCACACATCAAAATCTTTAAGTTCCACTCAAACCTATCGATTCTACTGTACCCACTAAATTCTTCCCTTTCTTTTGTCACCCATTTGGCATTTAGTTGAAGAATATCGAAATATGCAACTGAGAGTTACAAGAGTTTTGACAAACTCGCTCCATAGTGCATTTAAAATCATTATGGCGAATGAGGAGCGGAGAAGCCGTTTGAAATCTGGGGGAACGATACGGTTTGGCCGGCCAAAGAGATCGTCTATAAGTCCATCATCTTTTCATTGACTAAAAGGATCTTGGTGTCATTGAAAATTTTAATAGGGACATTATTGTTACACAATAGTTTTTACAACTTTTTTACTTTTTTNGGTGGAAGTTTGGGTATTATACCTATGTTGGTTTCTATCTAACACCAATATAGTGGTGACTTATTGAAAATTGGACATGAGTCAATCGCATTCCAAGTAGCCAAGAACCCATTTTTGGGAAACCAAACCATTAGTTCAAATCACTGCCTAAATTAATATATCTCGAAAGAATAATAAGTATTGCAGTTCCTGCACTTTGTATTGATAAAAAAAATGTCGCAGTTGATATAACAAAAAATCAACAAATTATTAATCCCTTAACAACCTTGATTATAATTAATAAAAATAAATAAATTCTCCAGAGAAATGAGTGCCAAGTAAAGATTTAGAATTTTTATTACTCCCCACAAAATTATCCTTTGACTAGGCTAAAATATGAATGATCCACACTGCCGAAAAAAATAATATCACTCCAAATTAAATCCAGAAAATTAAACTCATAAGCCATAGAATTCACCCAATTCTGGAAAATAAAAAATTGATAACTCCTTCAAGCCTCAACCTGCATGCCCAAAAAAAAAATTCATACCACAACCAATCAATCATTTCATTCTCCAAAAGCCACATAAAGAATCAATCACATAAAACCCACATCAAATCCAAAGTTTCTAACAAAAACTCATATCACTTGTGCAAAATTACCAGGAATANGGCAGGAAATGAAAAGAGAAAGCAATTGAAAGGAAATATCAAACTTCTAATTTACTTGATAAGAATGCTTAGGTTCAAAAAAATTTAAAGAGTTTGAAAGTTTCTTGTTTTATTTTATTTACTTAAAGTAGCGGGTTTGCCACTATTTGACATGCTTACTTAACATGAAAAACATGTGTAAAAACTCAAAAAATCTAAATTAATCACGGATATAAAAAAAACATACATATACTTGAAAATTGAAAAATAGAGAAGAGTCTATGCAAAGAGAACAAGTGATAACACAATAAAATTCCTATACTTTTTGGGAGGAAAATGATGAATTATTTCTCTAGAAGCACTCAAATACTGGAATGAATCNTGTTTTGTCCATGGTAATCACTTTTTAGGGAAAATTGTACTTTGCACCATGAAGAATTTCAAGTTTCCCACATTGCACTCTAAAAAACTAAAATTTTCATATTACACCCTCAATGTATCAAAACTATTGCAATGTGATCCTTATGTTTTTTCCGTTAGTTTTTCCGTCAGTATCAATGGATTGATTTTTAACCAAAAAAATAACAGAAGCTAACAGAAGAGTTATATTGCATTACTTTTTATACATTGAAGATTGCAATATAAAAAATTAAAAATATTTTAGAGTACAAAATACCAAAAAAACCCTTCTATTTAACCATCTAATCATAATCATATAGGGCATTATGTTTGAATACCACCGAAAAAATATATGTTTGAAATTATCGTTGACTGAAAAGTGGTATGATTAAATCATATAACTTTGCTATGTGCCTTAAATTTTTTCATTTAAGAAACATTAATGTCCGGACATCATAAATTTGTATAAACTTAAAAGGTACTATTTGTTTTATGGGATTTTTGAAGGTTGGTAAACAATATAGGACTTAATTGTATAAAAGTCTTTCGGGTAAAACTATTTGTAGAGAGGTCCTTTATATTTGTGACTGTCAAATATACCCACGTGTAAATACTAATTGGTGTAATCTCATGTGTTTGGAAATAGTCGGAATTCATGCATCATTCCTATGAAATCCGACTACTAAGATACCGCACAAAATAGGGTTTTCGAAATTCAAACAAAAATTGTCATAAAATCCATGATATTTCAACCAAATTAAAAACACAAACAACCAAAAATTGTGAGAACTAAAAAATCTTTCGCTTGTGTACTGATTGTATATATGTTGGAGCAACATTTAAGTTTGACCGTCAACTTTTTAAATGTAATCGCCGACAATAAACAATGTAACATGATAATGTTACATCAAAGTATAACAACACAATTAACACTTTTAAATATTGAATTACATTTCTCGATTCCTATGCAAACTAGATGTTGTGTTTGACACAGTGTGACAACCACAATATGACATCACGTAGTGCTTTCAAAAACATGACAGCATTACATCACAGTACAACACTAGACATTGAAGTAGAAGAAAAAGATATTCGTTTAAAATTTCAATATCCTAATCTATTAAAATAGGAAATTGTAGATATAATAAAACAAATACCATGAAAATGGAACTGCCAAATTAAACAGTCCATGAATTATGGAAATGAGTATTTCTATTAAAATAGAAAACTGTTGATAATAAAATAAATCTCATGAAAAAAAAGAATTGTCAAACTAAACTGTTCATGAATTATGGAAAGGAGTATTTCAGTAAAAGAAAAATTTTAAAAATTGTTATTGTCTATCTAGATACAATACATTTCTAAGTAATAGTATTTATCTGCAATATATTTTCAAGAAGATATTTTTCCACAAATAAGTAATTTATATAGTATCTATCCATAATTTTATGTTGTTTTATTCATTTGAATGCATAATGAAAAAGATTTATGTATATATGCTCAAATCAATCAATAATATCAGAATCTAATAAATCAGCCCAAACCGGCTTACTAATGGGATGCCCTAATCCATTACAAAATTCCGTGTTTGCCAATGATCCAATAAGAGGAATAATTGGACACTAATATCGAACTTCTTGATAGCATTATCAATTAGAAATGCATTTTCTAGCATTTGATTTCGTACCGTTAAAGAATTTAGTTGCACATTTGAAAAATAGCCCATAATGTCAAGATAATAATTGAAATTTTGTTTATATGGATTCTTTCTAGTTCAGGACACAGGTAAAAATAACATTGTTAGAAATTGATAAGATAATGTTTCCATTTATTCATCAAAAGAGACGTCCCTTTTGAAGCCAAAATTGATTTTTCTTGATACCTAACATAATTTATGAAAGGATTCTTGAACAACCATAGGTTAACTTGAAAAGACTTAAAAAAAAATTTTACAAGATATTCTATTTTTCCATAGAGTAACAGGAAAAATTGCTNGCAAAAATTTTTACAAGATATTCTATTTTTCCATAGAGTAACAGGAAAAATTGCTTAGATACCAGTGAGTGAGGCCTATTTGGGGCATGTTATAAATGCTCTAGCTAAACCTATTGATGGTAGAGGTGAAATTTCAGCTTCTAAATCTCGGTTAATTGAATCTCCCGCTCCTAATATTATTTTGCGTCATTCCTTCTATCTTACACATAATGCATTTTTATATCATAATTTCAATGGTTTGTTTTGGCGAGCCCCTATCTATCGAAACTTCTCCTGCAAAAGAAAAGAGAGGACTTAGTTATTTAAATAAGAACACCTTTCTTTTTGAAATCTTATTTTTTCATGATTTTTTTTTATCCTATCTTTATTACGTCTAATTCCCCTATTCGACAAAAATCAACAAAAGGTTCATTTGTGTACAATAATCGCATTGTAGTGGGCATAGTTTAGTGGTAAAAGTATGATTTGTTCTATTAACCCCCTTAACAGTTAAAGGGTCTTTCGATTTGATTCTTATTCCGATTAAAAACTTTATTTGTTAAAAAGATTTAATACTTTAAACACATCTATTGTAATTCTCCCTAGTTTATGTAAGTGCGATTGACCAACCAACCTCTGCTGGTTCAAATTTGGCAAATAGAATGAACTGCTGGGAATTGGCACTTGTTAAGGTATCCAAGCTCATGAATGGGAATGACAACTGCTAGCAAATTGTTATCGTACTATTATTTATAGGTTTCTGGGGTTAAAAATTTTGAAGCAAGCAAGAGTTTTTTAAAAGAAAAATCAAATTATTATCCAAAAATAGTTCACGCTTGTTGTACGTGTGCACCAACTAATACTAAAAATAGTAATTTTTTATACTAACTAGTAATACACCATGTGCATTGCATGTGAATAATTTTTGTATACAAAATACTAATAAAGAGTATTCGATATATATGTACCTAAATTAAATACCATCTCAAATTTATCAAAATTATATTTTTATCACTCATATTATAGTATAGAATTTAGAAAATTTTGTCTTTTCCAACGATTTGTTGTTCTAACTATAAGAAAAAATATATAAATAATTCACTGGAAAATCATTGGATTTTGTATCATTTTATAATACACTAAATAAAATAAAAATATTTATCAATATTCTAGTCAATACTTGCTACAGCTAGAAATTAGTTAGGTCAATATAGATAAAATATAGGTTTAATAGTATTTNTGTGTGTGTGTGTGTATACGCAGGTGGTGTCCAGTAAAAATACATAATTTTTATAAATATTTCGCATTCCTGCTCGATTTTTGCAGAATACTAAAAAAATTTTCATTAACCTACCTAATTTTTTACAATAACCAATCAGTAGATTCGAAATATATTAATAATCAATAATTTGAACACCCCTATTTGATTGTGTAGATATATACATACACACATTTATGTATGATTCAGATCGTTTACATGAAATCATGGGAAAAGTACTTGAGACAATCGATTAGGATGAGGCAGTAAATTTGATAAGAGAAAACATAGTTTTACAGCTTTTCTTGAGTGACCCCAAAAAAAAAAAAAATTCCTTTCAAATAATTGTGAGAACACAGCAATTACAAATGAAATAGAATACGTCAAACAAATGACACAAAGGAACAACAGGAAGATGGACCACACACTAAAATCCTCTTCGCCATTACGCTTTCTCACATGGATAAACTGCCCTAATGTGACTTTGATTTAGTGAATACTCGACAGATCACATGCTTACAGTAACTTGATTCGAAGCATATTTTTCAATGGCAGACTAAAGCACACATGAAAAAGTTACTGTCCTGCATTACTGAAATGAACTGCTCATTTCTTTTCCACAATAGGGAACTGATCAAATCTAGATTAGCCAATTTCTTTTTTAACGTAAATTAACTGATCTCTTGTTTCAATTTCACTCATAAAAGATTAATGCATTGGAAAGTAAAAATAAATAAATAAATAAATGTACACTTGATGCTACCCAAAAGGCCCAGTATCGCAACTCTAGAAGCAAGATCTCATAACCTATGCCAAAGCTTGCGCAATGATTGAACGATAAGACAGCTGCTGCTCATAAAGTTCACGGAAGATACGGTATTTAGCATCATGGTACTTCTTCACTTTTGGATCCTTCGATGGGTACACAATCTGCCCAGATACAGACACACAGATCAGAATATGATACGAGTATTCAGACAATGATGAGCAAGTGACATTAAAGACCAGAGCTTGGCTCAACCCACAGACAGCTAACGTTAGTGAGCTATGGTCGGACCCTAGCATCCAATATGGAACTCATGCAGCATGTTCATTGCGTTCACTTCAGTCTGCCAGGACTGAATCCAACCAAGTCTTGAAGATGAAAGACTCTAAATAAAGTCAGCTCATAAAGCCAATCAGTTCAATTTTCACCCTACAGATTGGAGAGTTTCACATTAGAACTGTTGTGTTCAAAACTGACACCATCTCATGTCGTTTCATGGAAGTCACACAGACCAAAATTACACAATGCCAGTCCAAAGCTTCCTTATAAATAGCAACGAAGTTAGGTAAAGAAGCCATGAAAATGGAAAAAGAAAAGATATAAGAAATGCAGGCTAGCTCTCAAATAAAGAAAAAAAGCAGCCAAAAGAGAAAATGTATGATGTTTTATTCCATATGCAGGCGCCTGTCCACCTAAGCTTGAATGTCTCCTCAAACTTTGCACTTCCGAAACAAATTAACTGAAGTTTACAATGAGTAAGAAACTGTTTTTAAGTACCTGACCAGCTGCATTCATTGCCTTCATGGCCTCACTAAGACTAGAATATTTCTTCGCAGCAACACCACCAATAATGGCAGCACCCAAGAGCACTGATTCACTTTCTCGTGGAAGAATTATAGGGTAACCTGTGTAAATCATGTATAAAAAGACAAAGCGAGCACATAAAGCTAAAGAAAACACAATTCGTGTTTTGTATAACCAGCCCTAGCAGTTGGGAATAACATCGTCGAGTTGAGTTAGAAAATGTTTATCTTAACCCCTCCTCTGAATTGAACAACCTTCCACAAAACATTTTTCACCTCAGCCCCATATGTAGTTTTTGAATGTAAAAGGCTACTTTAGTGGAATCACATCCAGTAATGAGACTGTTGTATCTCCTTCGTAAATTGTGTGGAATTTGTGTTTCTACGTGCCCTTTTTTCTTTTGGCTAGATTATGATAATAAAGGGAATAGAGGTCCCTCGCTCAAAACTAAAATCCCAACCAATTATGACGAGTCACCTCGAGCTCCTATAGAATATAGTTCTTAAATGCTTGCACTTATAGAACTGTAACCAAGTCTTTTGCCAATGCATGAATTGGGAAAAAAACATAAGTAATGTTCACGATAAAAAATTTTTCAATGACCAAGGTAAGAAAGTAATAAGTCAAGGTCGATTGAATTTCTAAATGGTAATGTTGTATTTATATTTACATATGCATGTCATTATGCATGCATGAGAGAGAGAGAGACCCATGATATCTGCATGCTCTTGAATGTACAAAGAATTCTTTGCAAGTCCACCACAAGCAAGCAGAGTGTCAATCTGCAAAATGAAGAACAGATTTGCAAAAAAGGATGAGAAGTGTAAAATGATGGCACAGGCTGTCAATGACTCAAGGTTGTATGACATAAATTGACTCCTTAGAGCATCTCCAATAGGCTCTTTATTCCCACTCAACCAAAAATTAAGTTCCAATAGGCTCTCTATTTAGACTAGTTAAAATAGTCTTATTTGGTTCTCTACATTTGGATAGCCCAACTCACTCTCTATTCTATTTTTAATGAATGAAAATATGACACATATACATTCTTCATTAAATGATATGGACTGGAAGGCTGTTTTTCAACTAGATAGGGAGCCCATTGCAGTTATCTAAAATATTTGACTCTATTTCAAAATAGATGCTCTCTAAAATAGAGAGTAATATTGGAGGTGCTCTTAGAATCAAATGGAAGCAATCAGCAAAGGGTCACAGAACTTTGAAATGGTCCAATTTACAAAATTTTATACTGCAACACCATTCTCACAGCTAATGCATGTAGATCTTTTTTCCTTATGAGCTGTGATCATTTTGTATTGGGCAAAAGGGAAATTGGCACTTGTCATCTACGATCCCACTTTAACTAGGGTCTAATACCATATTGTGCTCTGCTGAAACACCCTTTAATTAAATTCATTACTACATATAAGACCAGATATACTTTCCCAGGAAATCGACACAAACATATTATGTATGGGAGACGGGAGAGATGGTAAACTATCCAGACCTAACTGGTTGATTTGTCTTGAAATGGATCCTTTGGAAATCTTACCAGCAATCCATGCACCATGTTGTCATAGATGTATCTGCCTGTTATGGGCCATTACCTAGTGATGATTACGTTAATTTTGGGAGTGTGGGGAGGTTTATATAAGGCAGACCTAAAGTCCTTCTTTATTACCACAGTTATTATCATCAAATCTAACCCACCTTCTTATGCTTGACAGCTAAAACTTTTCCCGACTATCTGGCTGAAAAGTTGAACTGTTGTACCATACCAGATTCTAGAATGCACCACTAAAGAAACAATAGGATTATTCTCCACTAGTCATATGCATGAGGATTGCACAATATAAGAATCTTCAATTTCGTATAAAGAAATTAGAGCCCTAGACCACCTTCTCACTTCAACTACCAAATAAATGGTATCTAGAGTATTAAAAAAACAAATAAAAACGAGCACTGCTCTTGTTGTCATAAATATTTTAATAGGATTTTAAGGTCCTATTCTTCTGTGTAAAAATGAAGAGTTTATTTTTATTTATGAAGAAAAAATTACAAAAGAGATCCCAACGCTTCATGCCTTGGAATTTTTCCAGTGCTCCTGTGCACTTAAATCTTGATAATTTGACATGAAACAACACAATAAACCACACAAAAATGTACACTGAGTAGTAAAACAAAGATATAAATCATACTGTTAGGTTATATATCTAGGATGTAGCCCTTGGGGGTATTTTTGATACTTTTTTGTTGCTATATATATTGGGATGTAGTCGTGCAACCTAACATACTACTGTCTTGCCATTTTCTTCTTCTCTCTATTCTCAAAATTTAACGGCATGATAATCTAACTTGGTATCAAAGTTTCGATCAAATTTATCGTCTCAAAGTTGTCGAAATTCATCAAAAATCACATCGCACCAAAAATCACATCATGCAACCAACAGTTAAGATCGTCGGACTCTGACATGCTAACATCATCAATTGACTTTGTCAGATTTTTCCGAAATTCACAAGGGAGATTCGCCTCTTATTGCCGAGCATTATGGTAATTTTTCTGAAATTTTTTGAAGTGATCTAAGTGGTCTTTCGATTTTTCAAAAGATTTTTGCGATTTTTTGTTTTTTCTCCTAGATCTGCGATTGCAGACCTATTGGGGGCTGTTTCTGAACCCGATTTGTTTGAAAAGGTGCGATTAGGGCTTCTTGGTATTGCCCAGTCTTCCTTGTTGCATTCAGGTTGGATTTAGGTTTTTGGGACAATATTGTTGTCGTCAGTGTTGTTTTGGTTTGTCCAGGGCCCAGGTGTGCTCCAGTTTAACTTACCGAGATTTCCTTGGCATTCTATTGTATTTAGGTGTTATGCTTGTGAGATTCTATCACAGTGGGTATTTTTTTGGTGTGATTTCTTGGGGTCCCTTGCTATTTTGGATTGATTCTACTAACTAATCATGTCAGAAGGTAGAATAACATCTGCTACTATCATACCAAGTACTGGAGGAAGTGGGTCAAGCCTTTTGGGTGCTCTAGCTAATAAACTCTCTCTCCATATTAGTCCTGAGAAGTTGGATGAGTAACTACTTGGTATGGTCATGGGTTTGTTTATTATTAGTCCAATTTATTGCTTTAGATGGGTATTTGACTGGGGAGAATAAGAAGCCCAAGGAGACAGATATCTCCTTGAAGCAGTGGACATCCGAGAATGCTCTGGTTATGTCTTGGTTGCTTAATTCAATGCAATTCTCTATCAGTCGTGATTTTCTATTACTTGATAAAGCATATAAGATTTGGACTGCCCTGACTCATACATATTCTTAGCGAGGTAATGATGCAAAGGCATACGACCTTCGGAAGAAAGTTCGAGGGACTAATAAGAGAGATAAGACCCTTGTAGTTTATTATGCTGAGTTGACGACATTGTGGCAGGAGCTCGATTATTATCAGAATTTTCAAGCAGATTGTGCTAATGATGCTGTAAAATTTTGGCAAATGGTTGAAAAAGAACGAGTGTATAACTTTCTTGCTGGTTTTAATGTTGAGTATGATCAGATTCGGGTACAAATTTTGGATTGTAGTCCATTCCCTATTTTACAAGAGGCATATGCTCATGTTCAACAAGAGGAAAGTCGAAGAATTGCTATGGTTTATGCCCTTACTCATGGGCAATCTGCATTGGCTGCTATTCCTCAGTGTGACTTGAGTCTAATTTTTTCTCAAGTCTACTGATCAGAGTGGTACTGTTAGTAAGAATACCTTAAAGTGTGACTATTGTGGAAAGACCAAACATATTCGGGAGTTCTATTGGAAGCTGATTGGATGTCCTACACATGGTCAAGGTGGTGGCCGCAGTGGTAATGTGCGATCTCAGGCACATATGATTGAATCTTCAGAGACTCCACCTCAGTCTAGTGGCACCACCCCGTCTACCTTCTCTTGAGATGAGATGCAGACTCTTAGGCGCCTGATAGCTCAACTTTATGCTTCCTCTACCACAACTCCTAATCATGACTCTTCCTCCAACTTTACTCACATAGGTATAACTAGTGTGTTTACTGCATCATCCTCACATGTTCCTTAGATAATAGATTCTGAAGCCACGAATCACATGATAGGTTCTTCTAGCCTTTTCTCCTCATTCTCTACATGTTTAGGTAGGGATAAAGTTAAGGTAGCTGATGAATCCTTATCCTCGATTTTTGAGAAAAATTCAATTAATTGCTCACCCTCCCTTCTTCTCTCCTATGTTCTTCATGTTCCCAATTTCTCCAATAACTTATTATCTATTAGTAATATTACTAAATCCCTGAATTGTTCAGTGAGCTTTTTCCCTACTCATTGTGCCTTTTAGGAGCTAGAATCGAGAAAAACAATTGACAATGGTAGAGCACATGGTGGTCTGGATGTTGAAGCATCCCCTCCGTTCACTTGTCAAGCTCTCCAGGCAGATAGTGTTTCAGCCTTCAGATCCTACTACAATAGCACGGGCATTTGGGACATTTTCATTTGGTGTTTTAGAGCATATTTTTCATAATCTAGTAAAACAGTGCAGTAAACAATTTTTTGTTTGTAATGTTTCTGAATTTGCCAAGCACAAACGTTCTTATCCTAGTACTAATAATAAAAACACTACACCTTTTGTTATCATTCACTCTGTTGTGTGGGGATCTTCCCATGTTGCCTCTATCTCAGGTTACCGTTAGTTTATCACTTTTATTAATTGTTATTCTCGTCTTACTTGGATTTACTTATTGCACACTAAAAGTAAAATTTTTTCTTGCTTCCACTATTTACATAAAATAGTTGATACCCAATTTGATGCTAAAATCAAAGTCCTTTGCAGTGACATGGAACTGAGTACATTGATGAAAAATTCCGCTCTTACCTCAATGAAAGTGGTATCCTTTATCAAACTACTTGTTTTCGTACCCCATAACAAAATGGTGTTGCTAAACAAATAAATTGTCATCTTCTTGAAGTTGCTCGTTCCCTAATGTTTACTTTGAATGTTCCTCCACACTTTAGGGATATGTAGTACTTACTGCTGCTTATCTTATTAAACGTCTACCTTATAGTGTCTTACAGTTTAAGTTTCCCCTTGAGTGTCTTTCGGGGATTTTATCGATTCCGTCTGTTTCTTCTCTTCCTTCTAAAATTTTTGAATGTGTTTGTTTTGTTCATGACCACAGAGCATCTAGGGAAAAACTTGATCCTAAGACTCTGCAGTGTGCCTTTATAGTTTATTCTCCCACTCAAATGGGATATAAATGCTACCATCCACCGACACATAAGATGTTTGTAAGCATGGATGTTACTTTTCATGAGTTTGAGTCCTATTTCTCTCCTTTTCAACCATCTCTTCAGGGGGAGAATCCAACTACGGAGGAAAAGATGGTATGTCAAGAGTCTTTCCTTTAATTGCCTTTCAAGTAGGATACTAATCAGGGGGAGCAACAGATTGGTAGTACCAATAATTCACCTAGTACTTTGACGACCTATTCTTAGCGTCAAAAGGTACAGACCACCCATGTGCTTCTGGGTCAATTGAATTCCTCCACTCTAATTCTAGAATCTCCTACTCGTTTACCAAGTAATGAGCTTCCAGTTATCACCCCCAGGTTATTGATAATCCAATTGTTGATGACTCTGAGCTTCCTATTGTAGTCAAAAAAGGTGTTTGAGCTTGTACTCAACACCCCATATCTAACTTTGTTACTTATGATTCCTTGTCTCCATCCTATCGCACATTTGTGTCTTACTTGTCCTCTATATCTATTTCTCAGGGTTTGAAGGAAACTCTCACCGATCCAAAAAAGTGGCGAGAAACTATAGTAGAAGAAGTGAGAGCCCTAAAGAAAAATCACACATGGGAATTAGTTTCACTTCCTATTGGAGCAAGAGTAGTTGGGTGCAAATGGGTGTTCACTATCAAACAACAAGCTGATGATTCAGTTGAGAAATACAAGGCAAAGACTAGTTGGTTGCTAAGGGATTCACTCAGACATATGTTATCATGAGACCTTTGCCCCTATGGCAAAAATGAACTCCATACATGCTCTTCTCTCCTGTGCAGCTAATTTGGGATGGAGTATGCAACAATTGGATGTGAAAAATATCTTTCTCCATGGAGACTTGGAGGAGGAGGTATATATAGAGATTCCACCTGATTTTTCATCTCAGGTAACTGAAAGAAATGTGTGTAAGTTAAAGAAATCACTTTATGGGTTGAAGCAATCATCTAGAGCCCGATTTGATAGGTTTCTCAAAGGCATGTCGAAATTTGGATATAATTAGAGTCATGCTAATCATATCGTATTCATCAGGCAGGTAGATGATAGAATAACAGTTCTCATTGTATATGTAGATGACATAATGATAACTGGGATCACCAAACTAAAAGCTCAGCTGGCTAGGGAATTTGAAATCAAAGACTTGGGTCTTAATAGATATTTTCTTGGGATTCAAGTCGCCAAATCAGACAAAGGCATTTTTATCTCTCAAAGGAAATATATTTTTGATCTACTTGAAGAAACTGGTATGTTGGGATGTAGATCTACAGATTCCCTATTGAAACCAACCATCACTGTTGAGTGGTATTGATTATGTTGTGGATAAGGAGAGATACCAGAGAGACTAGTGGAGAGATTGATAAATCTCTCTTATACTCTGTTGGATATTGCTTATGTAGTGGGGATTGTAAGTTAATTCATATATGACCCTCGAGTCCCTCATCTAGAAGCTACTCATCGTATTTTGAGATATCTCAAGTCAACTACTGGGAAAGGGATTTTATTCTCTAATAATGGTCATTTGAAACTAGAAGCATTCAATGATGTAGACTGGGCAGGTTCAATAAATGACAGAAGATCCACTTCAGGCACTGTACTTTGATTGGAGGAAATATTATTACATGGAGAAGTAAAAAGCAAGCAGTGGTAACTAGGTCTAGTGCAGAAGCTAAATACAGAGCAATGAATCATGGAGTATGTGAGCTTATATGGCTCCAAACCCTACTAAGTGAGCTAAGAAGTCGTAGTGATGGGCAGACTGTACTGTGATAATAAGGCAACTATCAACATTGCACACAATCCAGTTCAACATGATAGAACTAAAAATGTTGAGATTGACCGTCATTTCATCAAAAAGAAGCTGAACAAGGGTTTACTTTGCATGCATTTTATGAAATCAAAAGATCAGTTGACCGATGTTTTCACAAAGGGACTTAATAGCGAGCTTTTTCATCCTATCATTTGCAAGTTGGGCATGAGAGATATTTATGCACCGACTAGAGGAGCGTTAGGTTGTATATCTAGGATGTAACCCTTAGGGGTATTTTTGATATTTTAATGCTGCTATATATACTGGAATGTAGTCGTGTAACCTAACACACTACTCTCTTGCCATATTCTTCTTCCCTCTATTCTCAAAACTTAACGGCGTGATAATCTAACTCATACACATTAAGTGCAAAAATAAAAGCTGGGACTATAAGCATAAAAACAAATGTTTAGGCATGTGGCAGCCAGTTCAAGCCAATTATTAACGTGTCTGATGAAATGCCCAAAAATAAAAATAAAAATAAATAAATAAATAAAAAGCCAATTACACCAGAATTTAGGTCTGCATCAAGACCACCCATCCCAGCACCACAGGTTTATGGAGAGAACTTGTGGAGAGCATATAAGATTTGCCTTGATAGTATAATGAAATACTTTTATCGAACGTGACACGAAGTTATAAGGATGTGAGGATCAGAGCTTGAAGTTGTTTCTGAATGGACACAGAGGAAATAGAGGTAGATAAATTTATCAATAACTGATAGGTTTTGGAGTTACTAGAAAATGAAAAATAGAAGTCCAAGGTGTGAAAGTATCTTAATAGATTTCCCAGCATCAATTTTTGACACTACACATATTGATGCTTACAGTCAACCCATTATATTATGAATCAGAGAATGCACGAGAAATCAACATATGCAATTTAAAATTAAAAAAATTGGGGCTGAAATATGGGGGTGAGGCATTCTTACTTTATGTCCATGAGCATTGCTGTGCTCAACAATATGACGTGTCCCATATGCAATTCCCTGCACGGTGGCAAGGTATAAAAGAGACAACTGTTTTTCACTAGTGTCAAGAGTGAAGCCACAGACCATTCCTTTTGCTTTTGGGTCTGCAATTGGAGACCTGGATCAAAACACTGGTGCTTACTCAGAACAATCATCCAGGCATTTCGACTGAAGAAATTAACCGTTCAAGCTTCAATCTTTAACTACCTGTTACCATGGAAGTCAGGAAGGACATGAACATCTTCAGTTAAAGCAGCCAGAAACCGAAGCCCCAGGTCTTGCATCATTGATTCCAACATTTCGTTCAACAGTTCAAACACTGAAATGCCTGTAAATGTACAATTGAAGGAAGGACAAAGATAATCTGAATGTCAACGGTAAAACATTTTTAAGTGGAGACCACTGAAAATTTAATTCAGACCGCTTAAAATCTAGAAAGTTTAAACAATATCTTACTTCGAGAAGCAGCACGATTTGCAAGGTGTGGAGAAGTAACATGGTTTTCAATCACATAATCCAATAACGCACCAGTAGCACTCTGGCCCCCTTCAGTGAGCCAGAACTCAGGCACCATTGCTACATATATTTGGAAAAAAGGTTGGAAAAAAAAAACAAAAACAAAGAACAAACATAAATAATACTAAATAGTATGACTTACTCACTTCAGAAAGCAATGACAGAAGAATAAATTTGAGTGTTCTGATTAGAACAGGTAACAGACATTAAATAAATAGGGGTTTCACATCATCATAAGAAAACCATTCAATTAATGAAGGTTATCTTGTTTTTCTGTACCATAAATTATGTGAATCAGACATGCAGAACACGAGACAGATGATCATCAGGCACTTAAAATTAAATATTTGCCATCACTAAAATTTCGAATATTTAGACAGACTCAAAGTAATGAATGAAGATTAGCTAGAAAATTTTCAACGAGGTATTTTAAGAAGGAATCCACAATTATATTATTACGGCCTTTTTAGCCAATGTTAAGCAGCATTGGTGTATCCCAATTCCCTCCAAAAGGTATTTGGTGGCGCGAAGTGCCTTCTTGATGGCTTTTTTTGCAAGGATTTGACGAAATTCTGAAGATTGCTAACTTGGGGCAAAGTTAAAAACACTTCCTATTAAATGTTGCACATGGAATGGAGGCTAGACTTCCAATCTCAACTGGTGCACATTTTAGCAGCTAGGGACCTGTGTTCTCTGCTGCTGAACCTTTCAAAGATGTGGTAAGTTAAGAGAAGTTCAACCAGCAAGGTTTCGAAATCCTGACTTGGGCTGGCACAAACTAGAAAGTTAGCATGGTTGGAAAAGAAGCACCTTTGGGCCTATAGGATTTACTTGCAAGGACCTGATGAAATGCAGCTGCCCAAGAATTGGCTGAATCAGATACTTTTTTATCTCATATTTTATTGGCTCTTGGGGTCAATTCCACTTTTAGACACATTTAGATGATTTCTTTGTTGACAAACTGAGCAGTCTGCCTGGGGACTGGAGGTCCAGCTTTGTTTCTGCTTTGCTATATTTCTGGGTGCACTCATTTATATACCTAAATTTTCCCTCTCTTCGGTGGCTTTATCTACCTATAGAAAATGAAGTAGCCAAAAGAACTTGAAGAATAGAAGGGAAGAAGAAGGAAGAGACCAGAAAATCAGACAAAAATCAACTCCGAAAAATGGAGAATTTAACGAGTATTAATTCAGATAATCCACCTAACAAAAACTCATCACTTGCCTGGCATTCAGAATCTATTAAGATGAACTTCCAAAAGCCATGACATAAAGGAATCCTTTGAAGAAACACTTTCAAAATGCCAAGATATACCTGACCAAAATGGTCCCCAGACTCCTGGGATGAACAACTTGCTTCGTGACACAGCCATATGGCAAGTGGAAGTTCCACAAACTAACACCATACGACGGCATATAGCATCCTCATCAGACTCTGAACATAAAAAATTGGTTAGGGGAAAATGTATTTACTGAAGCTCAAACCACTATATTAAGACAATACCCTAAATATTGATAACCTTTAGGTCCTGGATCTGATATAGGCACACTTTCCATTGTCCCCACACCACCAGCATGAGCATCAATCAGCGAAGTTCCCACAGGCGTTCCTGCTAGCAGACCCAGTTCCTAATGTGTAGATAGCTTCTCAGTGGAATCAAGGAAAATTAATATTTAAACAATGACATGCAAATCACCCTTTGAAGCCCGCAGGAAGGGCATGCTTTATTTTATGACTAAACAAACGTGGATGGACCTCATGAAAGCACCACTTGAAATCAATTTGAATTCTTCATTACAAATTTTCTTGCCTTCGCAGCATCAGGTGTTAGGCCAGCGCCCAAAGCATGGCCAGGGAAAGCTACACTTCGTCCTGTACATACAACTATTTGCTGGTCATAAGGCAGGCAAGAAAACAGAAAGTCACAAAACAGAAGTCCAATGGACCGGAGGCAAAAGAGAGATTATTATCCTTAAGGACAAGCAAAATAAGCCAATCACCAGTTGAGGTGTAACTGACAACTTCTACATGAATGATAAGGTTGTGGCTCAATTAGGTACGTGGTATAGGTATGGGTAAGTAATACGACACTTTCTCCGGTATACAGTGCGATAGAGTTGGGCTTAGTTAGTATGCTATTTTGGATCACGGTTTGCTTTAGAAGTCCTGTCTGGATTTTTTTAGCTATATGCAAACTTATATACAACCATGCATAGCTAATGAAAATTTATTTTATATTTATGATATGTTTTATTATTATTTTAATTATACAGACATACGTATAGTTTTTTTTCCCAGAAAGTACGGCCAAATATAAGTAATTACAATTTATTTCATATTACTCCTAAGAGTTTCAAGAGGAATTGAGACCCGTTGCAGCTCATGATCTTTACACCATCTTTTTAACACCAATGTCCTCAACCTAAAAGGCTAAAACAGTTAATATGACATTTCCAGTCCTCCACTGCTTTTTGTTAATTGCCAAAAAAAACCCAAAATTCAGAGGGGCATTTTAGACTTTTCTCATCAAAGCATGCTTTTCTTGTTAAGAAAGTGAGATGAGAGGCACGTGTGTGCTTCTCTGGTCGAGAAATCCAGAAGAATAAGCCACTTTACCAAAACTAAACAGACAGTTCAAACCAATTAACCTACCTTCCATGAAATCCAAAAGCCTCTTTCTGAGTCCCTGTTCAAAGCACTGACTCAAGATTGAAGGCGAGAGACTTCCCTCTCTGTTTGAAGAACTGATTCGAAGCACTGTCAGTTCAGGTAAGTAACTTCATCTTCACTCAATTTTGCCTCCTTTGAATTCATTATGTTTATTAGCCAGTAGTTTCCTTCTTCACCTTTTTAATCTGTTCGGTGCAAGTTCCTATATTTTTGGAATGATATGGGGTAAGGGTTTTTGATTTGGGGTTGCCATTTTTAATGACTTGGGTCGCAAACGTACCCTGTTTTGGGGTCGTGCAACCCAGACCAGGGGTCGTATGCTTGTCAGAGATTTCTGGTAACATGGGCTCTGAATTTCCTTTCAATTTGATAATCTGAGATTTTTAAGAAAATATTGGAAGCATACCTATCTTAGTATGATGCCCATCCACAAGGTCACCTAAGCCAATCTCCTCCCAGAAGTCATCGTCCCATCCACAAGCTTCCATAACTCGGGAGTCCTTCTCATTCATTTGCTGCATGTGTGCATGACCCAGATAAGTCCATTTGCACACTGTGGTGCACAAACTCCGTGTATCATCTCCTGTTGCTCTAGAAAATAGTCAGAAACAAAGGCAATGTTTCAGAGCACATACAAACAAGAAAAATAGGATAATTTAGGACAAGCAGATTTATAGTGCACCTGTATGACAGCCAATCACTCAAGTCCATCCACCTAAATGCCAATGACCATGATTCTTGCAAATTTTCTTTTACCCATAAAAGCTGCAAAAACCATTGGACATCAAATGCAATTCATAAAGCAATTAGTAACACCATAAAAGGCAAGCAATTCCAGAATTCTGGTGTATGCGTGACAAGATAACTTATAACTGTAAAGAGAGCTTGTATCCACCATCGAATGATTAGGATTACCCAAGGTTGGTTTATATACTTAAGGAACCTCTCCAACAATAACAACATTTTGATTCGCAGCATCTAAAGAAAGGGGTAGAATTCAGTGTTCAAATCTTCTTGTTCATTATAAAAGAGCTAAAACATTTCTGTCAAATAGCAACATTGGAAACATTGTGGGCATATCATTTGATAAATGGAATCAGAGTAGAATTCAATTCTAATTGTTCAACAAAAAATTAACCCGCAAAAAAAGGAAAAGAATGCTTAGCAACTAGTTTTCAATGTGATAATTCGCACAATAGGGCTCCAAAAACTCCACCTGAAAGATGGCATAAATGCAATTACTACTGCGTGTGAGAGAACCGAGCAACAGAGAAAGAAAAACACCAAAACCATTGGGATTGAAATAAACTAGATTTCTTCAATCAAACATACAAGCAGACCGAAATGTTAGGAGAAAGCCTCAACAGAGGTCTCTCTTCAGCACATCTCATAACAGGAACACCAAAATGGCTAATTCTAAAATAAGACCTCAAACTCCTATCTAGTACGAATGATGTGATAACTTGTTCTAGATTTCTATACCCCTCCTAATGGTGCAAAACCACTGTCACCACTGAAAATAANGCCAAAATGGCTAATTCTAAAATAAGACCTCAAACTCCTATCTAGTACGAATGATGTGATAACTTATTCTAGATTTCTATACCCCTCCTAATGGTGCAAAACCACTGTCACCACTGAAAATAAAACAAAAAAGAGTCTTTTAAGCCATTAAGTCAGACATAATGACTTTTGAACTCATCAAAATAACACAAACTAATTGCTTGTCCTGTTCTTTCCTTGAACTCCCCTTTTACCCATGAACTGGTACAGCTTCAAAAGCATCTGGGCAGCATCAACTCCCTCTCGCTGCGAATAAGTCAACTCCGACAAGTTGGTCTATGTTGACCCTATGGTTGGTTAAGCAAAGTTTTGATGATAAAAAACATTCTTGTATTACTAATCATCTTTTTGTGAACTTGGTTGAAAGTATTACACTGGTTTGACACAAGATGAGAAAGCTTGGATGTTCAATGTGCTATACCTACCCTGTATGAAGAACTAAAAGAGAGGATGCGATGATTGAAGATGCAAAGAATGAATAAGAGTGAGCATGACTAACTAAGGTGATTGAATATGAGAAGATGCACCTATAGGAAGAGAATGAGTATCATGGATATAGCTGGATTAAAGTAGTTGAAGAGCATGGCATGAGAAGCTTCTTCAACAACTTTGTCGGTTTGATGTGCATATGAGGACAACTTGAAAAGGTTAATCATCATTGTTATATGATCACTATTCAAGTTAGGAAGAGTTGGAAGATCAAGAAAAAGAAGCGAAAGAAACAAGTCATTTGAAAGTGATATTGTAAAGGCGTGTCTTCAACTATCGAAAAAGACAAGGTTACAAGGAGTTTGATCGTCAACCATGAAGGAGATTGAGATAGTGAAAGGAGAGCTCCATAGAGAGTTCTTCTTCCCTACTACTAAATTGTAACATTCACACTACATCACTTATCATATAAATTCCCTATCACACACATTATCTTGTTGATCATACAATCATTTACATTACATATTTAATATGAATTAAAGAAAGCAAAAATTAGTCATTAAGTCACTCAACCTAATTCACCCCCCTCTAAAGTTGCATTTGGGCCAACAGTCTATACATATCTTCCACCAAGAACTGGTTTAAACTGTCGTAGTACAGAAAGGAGGACCATGTATTCTCAGGTGCTGATTTTCCTTTCCACCTAGTCACCATCTTCTGTGAATAGTGTTGTGGACTCCAAAATAAGAAGACCATATAAGTGTGACAGAGCAGCTCTTATTGAAATTTCTTCATCATGACCTGTGTGACTGCGTCATCAACTGCATGAAAGCGCTCAGGGCATTCAACCCAAATGGCATCAGCATCCACTCATATAGACATCCTCGGATTTGAAATCTGTTTTCCATTCATACCAAGCCTTAATTTGTATACTTTGTGGTCTCCACTCCATAGATCTATGTTGGAGAAAATCAAGGAACCGACCAACAGGTCAAGGAAATTATCTAGTGATGCAGCCCAGAAAACTTTGAAAATGTATCATTGAAGGTGTAAAGGGGCAGATCAAGGAAAAAACGACAATAGCAATTAGTATTATCATCTTTTAGGAGTCTTAAAGTCAGATTTAATGGTTCAATAGATTCATCTTTAATATGTTTCTAGTGTGGAATTACGGAAGAAGTTATCCTGGGTTTATAACAGCTACGGATTAAGGTTATATTTTAGAATTTGATGGTCTTGTTCTGAGACTTGCTGAAGCGATAGAACTGTCATTGAGGCTTTCTTATAATCTTCTGCTGCAGTTGCTTGTGTTTTGGGTCAATTCATTTGCTTTATTTCAACCCCCCGTGTTTTGGTCGCTGTAATTCTCTTAATAACTTGGCTGCATCAAGTTTTGGCCCCAGAGCAGGTTTTCAAATGTCTGGAATTTGTCTTAGACCATATATTGAGAATGGAACAGCTTGACCCTAGGCATAGGATAAGCTTTTAGTGCATCGAACCAATCAAGTGCCTGCCCTATCACAAGAAGTGCAGAACTTGCAAAGAAGCAACCCGGCAATGTCTTGAGCCATTCGAAGATCGACTGTTGTAACCCAAAGATCTGCCAGAAGGAGACCTTAGGAAAATTTCTGATGTAGAGGCTTCTCTACAGGGAGAGGAAAAGAGACTGTGAGAAATCTATTCCAAAAGGTAGAAGAAAAGCAACCATATCCTAGGGTCTCACCTAGGTATAAACAAAAAATACAAGGAATGGCCAGCAAGGGAGAATTTTATAGCTCAAGAGAGTGGCTACAAGAAAGGTGTGAAGATAGAAGTGCTTGTTTCCAATGGGAAAGGACCTCTGAACATTTTCCAGATTGGTTAGTAGCGCAAATAATTTTTCAAAAGGAAAAATCTGCCCGAGGATCGAAAAGTGGGTTTGTGAAAATAAACTCAAAGGACTAGTTGTTTGGTGGGATTTTCTGGCGGATTCTATTCCTTTAGTTGGAGAGCCAAGGATTAGAACATGGGCAAAGACGAAGGAAAAGTTGAGGGACAAGTTTGTACTGATTGATTGCAAGCAAAACCTTTCAAGAAAAACCAAAACTTTAAGCAAAGGGACATGACTGTTGAATACTATATCCATAAATTAATTAGTTTGCGAGATGGGCTGGTTAAATCAGATGAAATTGTAGCGTCCTGCAGCTTGTTTGGGCTTGAAGTTCAGACAAGATATTATAGAGTGGCTGTCAAACCATGGACTGTGGATGAGGCTTTCCAATTAGTGAGGAAGGTAGAGGAACACATAAAGAGGTGGTCATATCCCACCAACTGTGGGTTTCAGAGCAACTGGTTGCAATGAAAAACTCTGTTCCACATCAAGCCAGAACAAATAATGGGAGTGGTAGAAAACATACTGATAACAGGGCATTGATTCAGAAAAGGTCAACTCATCAAACAAAAGCAAGGTTACTGGCTCTGCCAAGTTATGTTGCTTGTATGCATCACATGACCTATGAATTCCCCAAAAGAAGATAGAAGGACAAGACTAACATCGCAGAGGGGAATACAGCAACAATGAAGAAGAGGATGACACGCTTTTCATGTATGAATGTGGCAGGAAGAGGTGAAATTGGCCTCTACAGTAGGTGAAACGTTGGTGATGTGCATGATAATGACGTCCAAAGAAGCTTTTGAAGACTGGCAGAAAAAGAGCACCTTACAAAGATGTGTCTTTTGCAATGGGAAGGCATGGACTTCAGCTATTGATGGTGGTATTGCTAAGAACCTTGTGTAAGCAGAGATGGTAAAGAAGTATAAAGAAGAAGAAACTTTCCTAGTGGTTGTAATAATTAAACTGCTTAGAGGGTATACTCATCATTTGTATGTTTAAATACAAGTTATTGGTGAAAAGTAGGTTAAGTTTTAACCACTCTCCGTCTCTCTAATCAGAGGTGGCTCAACACAATTAGGGGCCTAAAGCGATACTTCTAAATGAGGCCTTCTATGTTTAGTATTAATATTTTTTATTTAAAATTAATTTTTCTTGCTTTTTGAGTTGCAAAAGTATTAATAATTAAGTTTTTATATTCAAGTTTTGCTACCATATCTTTTTCAACTGATAATATTGCTAATTTAATTAATCTTTCTTGTGACATAGTCGATTTTAAATAAGATTTTATTAATTTTAATTTTGAAAACTTCATTCCGCAGAAGCAACTGTTACATGAATTGTTAATAATATTCTATAAGCAATGCATGCATTTGAAAAAAAATCTAACTTTTTCATATAATTTAGTATCTCAATTGGAGTATTTTCTTTCGTTTGTAATATTTATTTTAAAACATTTAGTTCTAAAAATAAATCTAAGCTATAAAATATTTTCTATTTCATTATCCTCTATTTTATTATCTTTTATTTCAATATTTTCTATTTCAAAATTTTTTATTTATTTATCTTCTATTTCATTATCTACTTGTTTATTTTCAAAATTTTAATCTAAATTTTTTGTTACATTGTTTTTGTTACTAGTAACAAATTTATCAAGAGATCTTTTTTGAGATTCTATTAGTTGGTCTATTTTTTTTATTTTTTGTTACATTGTTTTTACTTGGTTGTCTTCTATGCGCCATATTATTAATATATTATAACTATATAACAACCAAACAAACACAATATATAGTGTAGTTAAAATATATAACAAAAAAATTTTAAATTATGAAACAATTGAACCTTGAATGATCTCAAATGTTGGCTTTTGATTTTGAACCATGTCCCTTATGTTACAATGAAAACTCGAGTCGATGGAGGATGGAGACCGAGTCACCTTCACCGAACTATCGAGTCACCATCTCACGTTACTGTGAGTCTATGAGTTGAGAGCACTATGTGTGTGTGTGTGAGAGAGAGAGAGAGAGAAAAGAAGAAGAGTTTTTTGTTTTAGTTTAAATGAGAGGGAGAAAAAAAAAGAATTGCTTTTGTATTGGTTTACCGAGAGAGATAGAGTGTTAAAAGTAAGGTAATGATTTGACTTTTGAGTTTCTGATTTTTTTTAATTTGATGTGACCTTTACGTTCAATTTTTTTTTACTGTTAATTTTTTTAAAATATTTAATATTGGATTGGGCTATGGGCCTAAATAATTGATTGGGCTTATATTTTTATAAGACATTTTTTACATAGGTTATTTATGGTATTTAAAATTTTGGGGCCTTCCTTTGAAATGGGGCGTAAAGCCCAGGCTTTTTTAAATGTGCTGTTGGGCCGGCCTTGTCTCTAATATTGTGTTAACTCTCTAAACTTAACATAGTATCAAAGCGATATTAATGGATCCTAAATTTTATTGAGGATTGAAAATTTGAATCAAGCAATATTATTTTTTTTTTATTTTTCTCTTATTTTCTTCTTGATTTTGATTTTGTCCCATGTCGCGTAATCCACGCACATGGTCTGAAAGTGTGGATGGTGTTTGTGTATGTTGATGTGTTGGTGTTGAGATGTGGATGATTGGGTTGGCCGCTCATTTATCACAATAAATCTGTTTTCTTTTTTGGCTTGTGGTGGTTGCCGGTGGGTGACTGACTAGGTATCGGTTTTTGGTTACCGATGTTGTCGGAGGTCTGGCATGACGGTTGTAGAGTATCATAGTCGTCTCTTGTTGATCTAGGGCATCCTCTGCATGAAGACCTAGTGGCTGTCAGTGTTGCATGGAGTAATGGCTGTTGTTGTCGCCGTTGTTCTTTTGCTATGCTAGGTTTCTGAAAACCCTACGTAAAGAAGACGAAGCAAAGGCTTGGGGTTGGATTCGTGGGTTGCTCCATTGGGTGAGTTGGACTTGGTTTATTAATATAACCCAATCCTTTCTAGGCCACGTTCAAGCCAAGTCCAATTCACAGGCCCTAGTATTCAAGCCCAAGGTTCAAGCAAAATCCAAGGTTCAAGCCCAAGCCACCTGTCCAACTGCCAACTGTTCAAGCCATATGAATGATATTTTTTTATTTATTTTTGTTAATGTTTTATTTTTTTTATTTGTGCATTGATTTTTTCACAACTGATTTGTTTTAAGATGTACATAATCACTTTAAACTTCAATTCAATCCCAATGTCGACATGGTTTTTCCAACAAGTACAATATTGTTATATGTGTAATCAACGAAATTGCTTAAATGTTGCCACCAAACATCATTCTAATATCTAGATGGATTTTTTGGTTCAAAAGCACTTTCAAAACATTTTTACCAACAGTTAGGTATTTCATAAAGTCCATCCTAAAAAATCCATTTTCTAAATTCCATCATAAAATGGACTTTTACTTTGAGAAGTTACATCAAATGCAACCATAATCTATGACAAGACAATACTTACGAAGATTATGTTTAAAGAATTGCAATTGAAGGTGGTACAGCTTGAGAAATCACAAGAATATCTTAGCAGTTGTTTAAATACCTTTGGTGGCTGCATCTCAGGGGATAGAGCTCCACCACAATACTGTAACACTGTTGAGTTAGAAGAATTAATCCTCTCAGCTTGCTTTACAGCTCTGTGATCCATCCATACTATGACATTTCTTCTTGTGTCGCCACTCCAAGATACTGTAACAGGTGCGCCCTCAGAATCCACAGCAACTGCATCAGAAAATAATTTGTTTGAATCTTGAATAGGCGACATACACAACATATGGTATGTCATAATTGTCTTATTAAAGCAAAATCTGGAAAGATATATCAAGATTACAAACCAAGGGAACAAGTAGCTGCAAATCCCAAGCCCGTTACTTCTTGCCCGGCCACATTTGCAAGAGAACATGCTGCTTTCACAGCCGCGCAGATTGCATGCCAAATATCAGTCGAAGATTGCTGGAAAAAACGAAAAAGTTTTAAAATAACGGATCCAGTGTTATTTAAGGCGTAAAGCGAATCAAAGCGAACCGATCTCCTAAGAGCCCAGGCGAGAAGCGAAGCGAGCGCTTCATTAAAGCAAAGCGAATAATATAAAAAATAAGTAAATATTTTAGTTTCATACTTTGATTACTCCAAAATATTCAAATTTTAACTTTACAAATATAAAATATTTAAATGCAATCAAAATAATAAGCATCAACATATTTTAAATAAACAAGATATTAAATATTAAAAATTATTGCATTCTAAAAATAATCAATTGACATAATCACGTCATCTAAATGTAAAGTTATCAAATGTGGGTTCAACTTCCACCGTGATTGATTAATATCACCACTAAACAAAGCACTCACAAATTGATTAATCAAATAAAGCATATAGCAAATTGATTAATCAATTTGATTAACCAAGCAAATTGATTAACAAAAGCATTCACCTCAAAGCAAAACATTCAACATTATCTAATCATAATAAGATAGATTGTCATATGATACTGTTACACGAATCAATCAATTTATTTTATACATATATACATATAACATCATCTCTGCTAGGATTTGATTAATGTTAAAGAAGGAGGAGGAGGAGGGGGAAAGAGGAGGAGAAAATAAAAAAACTACAGTTAGGCATTCGCTTTTCTCGCCTGCCTCGCTTCTTCGCTTCGTCGGCTAAGCTCGCTTTTTCCTCGTTTTACTGAACCTCGCTTCGTCTTGGATGTTCAAGGCGACCAAGGCTCGCTTCGCTTTGCTTCTCTCCTAGGCTCGCTTTTCACAACACTGAACGGATCAACAATCCTCCAAACACAAATTTTAGAAAGTTTCTCTGCCAGACAACGAATCTTGCAACACGTGCTACCTGTAGTAATTTGTTCTACAGGTTTTTTGTTGATGTAACAAATAGTTTGGCGTGGTATAGTCAAGGATCAAATTTTCGTTTCGGTACATTGTTTCAATCACCTAAGAAATGGAAACGTTTCGACATGTTTCAGAAATGTTTCGACCTGTTTCAAATATATAATCAAAAAAATAAAAAATTTAAGAATTATTTTTTCAAAACATTAATCAAAATATACCAAAATATCTTGAAACATTCTGAAATAATTGTGCAAATGCATTGAAATATAACAAAATATTTCAAAACATTATGGAACACCTTGAAATATTAAAATTTTGATTTCATCACTGATTCGTTTCGGTCTCCTTGAAAATATAAACGTTTTGGATGTTTCAACTGTTTTGAAACGATATTTTGATTCTTGGTTATAGTCTCCAAAAAAACAGGTTATAAGACCCAAACTTGCATTTTAGAGCCAACTATCAATTTACATGTTCGAATCCATTTTTACTACCAACATACTATTTTGTATTACCTCAACACAGTCACCAACTTTCCAAATCTGTATCGGGCTACTAGCAGAACCTAGAAGTTTCCCGTTCCCATCAAATAGACCTGCATCAAGCAGCAAACGTGTAAGGAAAAAAGTGCAGCATCTGAGGAAAGTGTAGCATCAGTCTGTGTGCACAATGCAAACCCATGTATTCCTAAATAGAAAACAGATAGTCAATCATAATGTAATGACTTCACCGCTACAAGGGAAATTGTTTATTTAAAACATGGAAAACTGGCTAACATGCAAAAGTGGGCCACAATACAATCAAATACTACGATCAATGAGAACAGTTACCAATGCTATCACATACTAGACGATGCTAAAATTAACATCCACATATATGGTGGCTTGACCAGTTGGCCTAGCAGTAAAAATTGGACTATTGAGGAGAAGGCATCACAATATGAATCCAGTCAAGGCAGAGATGGGGTAAAGGGTCCATTTCTCATTGCCAACAATCGAAAAATAAAAACCATATAGCATTGTGTGTTATTTTGGGAAGTCATAGAATGCGAATCAAGTGACAAACTGGCAATAGATGTAATACATTTTTGCGAAAATCTACATGGAGATTGATGCAAAGTGAATTGCGCGAATCTTTTGACCTGAAGACGGAAAAGGACAACCTTCCAGAAAAAAAAATTAAAATGATGATATTGTAATCATTGGGTGCCAGGAGTGTGCATAAAGTGCAAGAAATGTGAGTATAGCCATATGCAATGTAAAACAGAGATTAATTGGAAACGGGTATCATCCTATGTGGGGGTAAAACTATGACATTTGACTCTTATCAAACTCCGTAATGGCGGAAACCTTGTGCACTTAATCATCCTGGTATGCAGCTATGGCTAGGCGATTATATCATGCCACAAAAAACTTTTATAAGTGTAGAGAGACAACCCAAATACACAGACTACGTCTAGAATATATGCTCATAATTAGACAGACATTCCATTCATTCTTAGACAAACAATGAATATTGGAATATATCCAATAGGAAGGAAAAGATCAACAAGCCAAGAATTAAGTAATGTGACTGAAAGCAGGTTGGGAACCTAGATGTGGCTGATAAATCTAGTGACAAATGGGGGCCAGTCCGGTTTTGCAGGATGGGAACTTGTTGCGGTGGCATGGTTGTTTGAATATAAAATGTAGTAGAAAAGGTAAGTAAGAGGCTAGGCCAGGGTCACCACTGGTGACCAGAAAGGAATGGGTAAACGGGAACACTTTGGGGTGAACACCCATCCGAACAAGATCAATAGTTCAACATTGAGTCTGTAACATTAGCAACAAAAAAATTATTTAACCCAACAAGTGCTCTCCTAACCAAGCTAGATAGTCTTCTATCACTTGGGCTCACCAACCAACTTGGACTTTGATTCTTATTATTCCTACTGGATATCAAAACCATAAGGATATTTTCCAGCCATGAGTTCCCCAATGACATAAGCGTTGTTGGGTGGGGTGGGCCATCAATTGTCAAGTTTTTGAGTGCCCTTCTTATCACGTGGTTGGTGCACTAGGCTGATCGAGACTCGAAGCATTTAATAGGCAGGAAGCTTCGGGGAGAGATCCTATTAAATCAAACGATTGAGATTCGGTGGTACAAGAAACGGAGGAATGTAAGAGAAAAAGAATATGGGTAGGATTAATCTAGGATGGCAAAAATACATGAAAGGGAAACCAGAAGACACCAAGGGGAAATGAAAGGTAACATAATTCTCTTAATAATAAAAATTTTCTTCTTGGAACATTGGGATTTCAAATGACCCCAACAAAGAGAGAAATTAGGTCCTATGTGAAAAAACAAGCTACTAAAACAACGTGAAAAGAAGGAACACCATATAGGTGTTTTAAAAGTTGTCTAAATGGATGAAAGCTTGTATAATTGTGAAGAAGATGGTGCTGGCAAAGGTAGAATATGGATACCATGGGATCATGCTTTGAAGTGCAATGCATTGCCTTTAGTACGGAAGTTATTTCCTGCAAAATAGGAATCAAAAAGACTTGCAAGTGCTTCTAGGCTTACTTCCCATGTGGTTATGAAGATTTGATATATGATTCACTTTTAAGTGTTAATCAGGAGTGGATCCTAGGTGATTTCAATATTGTGAGTTATGATGTGGAAAGAATTGGTGGTGCTGGTGTAGAATTGGTTAGCAATAATTTCATCATCGGATGGAGGTTGAGGATCTTAATGCTTCAGGGAGTTGCTTTACATGAAAAATAGAAGGGAAGGCAACAATAATATTTTGAGTGATGCTATTTTGTTAAGTTGGAACAAGATTTTTGCTAACTATGGATGGTTGCAATGTGTTGCAGAGCCTCAAGCAAAATTTCAGGTACCCAGTGTCTCAGATTATAGTCTCACTGTTGTATCTTTGTTCCCTAAATCATGATGTAAAAGCAAAATTTTAAACCACTGTCTATAGTTCTCAGTGTCAAGACATTAATGGGGAGGGCTACGGTCAAACTACACCTAAAACTGAAGAGACCTCAAGCAAAACTGACGGGGTTGAAAAGAAATTTTCTAATAATCTCTCACAAAGAACTGTAGCCAACAAATGAATTAGAGAGAGTCAAATGTTGAATTCTTAGCGAGGATCGAGGAGTACTTAATAGCAAAGAAAAAAGTTGATACTCAAGTACAATGAATTTAGTGTTGCGGAGTATGCTTTTACTAGCACGGAGCTAGAATTAGATGGCCTTCCCTTGGTATAGTTGTATAGCTTATAATCACACAAAATCAAGGGTCATAAAGCAAAGATTATGAATATTGTAAAAGTAATAGTAAGTATGAAATTAAGATGGGCAAAGTTGGAATACTATAATTGGTTAAACTAATGACCCAATCCTAATAGATGTTACGAATACGAAAGATCATCATGTCGCAAAGGATGAAACATCATAATCAGAATGTAGAGCATGAACTTATGCTACAAAGGATGGTCAACCAACACTCAAATAGACAATAAATTTTTTTAAAACTTTGTAGTGTACTTCTAAAGTTAACTAAGCAGATTCCTCCCATGCAGAAAGTTTAACTATTCGAACCTATGAAGCACAGACACTTTGAACAGGGTGACATATGCACATTTGCCACATGTCGGATACCGAAACTTCTCATAAACTCTTCAGCACAATCTAATGCTCTTTTATCTATTTTCACAACTAAAAGATAAAATCTTTTTCGAACACATGCCCGACATGTATAACTAACAAATCTTGAAATTTTGAGAAATGATTATCTCATACTATAAAAGAAAATATGGTAAATTTCACTGACTCCTCCTAGAAAATGGCCTAATTTTAGGGACACCTCCTATGGTTTCTGAAATGTCAATACCACCCCCTATCAGATTATGTTGGTTAACGAACCAAACGGAGTTCATGATTTTACTGAATTACCCTTTAATCCTAACCACGATTGGAAAAAACCCTTTTTTAACCATCTGTATATAATGTATAAACCTTATGTTAACTCTTTGTGCCAAGAAATCAAAGAAACAGAGGACCTCTCCCTTCCCAAAATCGTTCTACCTCTCTTCCCACAAACCAATCAAACCATTATGCTGCCTTTGGGTTGCACCAGAAATAATCGATGTGGTTTGTCTACACCATGGTTCCACCTAGATCACGCACAAAAAATAGAGCAAATAGTAGAAAAGAAAGACAAAAGAGACTAAGAGAAAATCAAGAGACCGCACACAGACGTCATTTTTGTTTTATGTTTGCATACGATTTTCAAGATTTTCCATTTTCATTGTTGTTCAGTTTTAGTTTCAGATTTACCCTTTCATTTGAATGGGTAGTTATCACTTTCTTAAGAATATTTTCATCATTTAAATTAGAGTTTTTTTCTTCCGTATGATTTTCGATATTTGCCATTTTTATTAGTTTTTTATTTCAGTTTTAGATTTACCCTTTCATTTGAATGGGTAGTTATCACTTTCTTAAAATGAGAATTAGGGATTTTGGCAAATTTGGTAAATTAGGGTAACTTTCTTAAGAATAAATGAGTATTTGTTTGACTGGGTCAATTTCTGGTAATTAGGGATTTTGGCAAATTTGATAAATTAGGGTATTTTTTATGGATTGATGATCGGAACTTTTGCCATTTTTCCATGGTTCATTTCGGAATTGAGCATTTTTCAAGACAGGTTTGTTTTTGCTACTTAGGGCTTTTGACAATTTATCGTCATTTTGGTTGAATTCAAAATTGGTAGTTCACATACAGCTCCTTTCCTTGGTGTATATACATGTATGAGTAATTCTGCTACATACAGTTCCTTTCCTTAGGTGATTGNGTCATTTTGGTTGAATTCAAAATTGGTAGTTCACATACAGCTCCTTTCCTTAGTGTATATACATGTATGAGTAATTCTGCTACATACAGTTCCTTTCCTTAGGTGATTGTTGTATTCATTGAGACTACTACTACTAGTATTGAAATCCAATTAAATGTATTTAATAAGATGTTTATTTATAGGGGTCACCTGCGCCGAATGTGAGGAAAGGTAGGGGAGACACAGAGACAAAAATGGAGTAGAATTTGCACAGAACTGAGGTTGCAGTTTATGTAGATAAAGACAGTTTTTGAGGTTTCTTTGTTGACTGGAAATGCATATATCATAGACGGTATGCGTTGCTTTTGTTGCAGCAGCAAGAATACATATAAGAAAAACATATTGCACCATGCTGCTTTTGTTTTTGTTGCAGTCGCAAGATTGCATATATGTAATGATACATTATGTTAGGGAATGAAGCAAACTTTATTGTGTATATTGTGAGTAGGGGTGGTAATTTTTGACACAACCCGAAAACACGACTCGTACTCGACACGAAATTAGCGGATTAAGATTTATCATTTCTCAACACAACCCGTAAATGACACGACCCGTTAACACCAATGATAAATGTGTTAAGTTAGTGTCAAACACGAACAACATAAAATTAACACATTTAACTAATATTATAGAAATAAAATGCTAATTATTTGTAATTTTTTATTAAGCATTGACATAACTATTGTACAAAAAAGAGATTTTTACTCATTATTATTGTTATGTATATTAAATTAATTTTTAATTTATAGAAAAAGTATGAGAATGGATTCAATTAATTGATAATAGAATCTTAAAATTAAATCTTAGTGTTAAGTTCTTTATTCGAAATTTATATAATGGGTCAAGACAAATATGAACACGAACCCGACACGAAAATAAACTGATCAATCGACACGACACGATACGATTAATGAAATAGGTTGGGTTAAGTTTGATTAGTGCTCGACACGAACCCAACATAACACAACACAACTGTCACCCTAATTATGAGGGTAAGCTATTATATTATGGTATCTAAAGTAGATCAATGGGAGAGAGCAATGACTGGAGCTATGTTTCAACCACTTGCTATACAGTTTCTCATGTCCCATTAATAAAGCAATAAGGAGACACCAAACAAGTAGAAAATTGAAGAAACAAAAATTGAGAACTTTGTAAGTGAGATTAGCAATTAGAGCTTCTTGCTTTTCAAAATCTATTTAAATTCATAATCTATTTAAATAAAGGCCCAAGAAAATATAAAATCCTAATTCAAATAACCAAAAATCCAAAATTCTAAGAGGGAGAGAGTTGGCCCTATCCAGAAAATAACCATCCAATTTCATGCAACCTCAAACCCATCGAAAGGAACTGGATTTCTAGCAATTTAAGGGTACAATGGGTAGATCATTGTAAAATATGCCATGAAATCATCTAGTCTGTTAGACATCAGTAAAAGCAATGACGGTAAAGGTATTATGTAAAACTTAATATAAAGTAAAAGGGTATGCAGTGACATTTCAAAAACCATAGTGGGGTGTCCCTGAAATTAGGCCATTTTCCACAGGGTGTAGGTGAAATTTATCCAAGAAAATATCCTTGCTAAGTCTGGCTATATATTTACTCAAAAATTACTAATGAAAGGAAAGATGCATAGAAGTTTCACTTAAGAAGAGCATTTGAGATGATGATAGCAATCACTATAGTGTTGTGTCCTACTTCTTCAATAAGTGGCATGGTTGCATGCCACTGATTCAGAAAAGTTGGAGCATAGTAAATGCAGATGTGATTAAAGCTACTTTTGCCTTCTTCACCAAAGGAAGAACTCTACAAGAATGGAGCTCAACTGCTATTACCTTGGTTCAAAAATGTTACAATTCTCCTACCATGAAAGACTAAAAACCTATTTCACGATGCAATAACATTCACAAAAGAGTATCTAAAATCATAGTTGCAAGGATTAAGCCTGTTTGGAGAGAATTATATGCAGTAATCAATCAGCTATGTACAAGGCAAAGGTATTGTGATTCAAACCAAATTGGGCTTATGACACAGTAAATTGGCAATTCTTTCGTGACATGTAGGAAATTTAATTTTTAAATTTCATAGAGACGATGATCAGTTGGATTAAACCTTGTACTAAAACTCCAAAGCTAAGAAGCATGGACACGGACACGAGATACGGATACGACATGATACAGACACGCCGACACGACATTTCTCAAAAAAGTAGGACACGGACACATTAGGGACACGCTACAAAAAAAATTATATTTTATATATAACATTATATAATTTATTACAAATATAGTGATAATGATATACAATTCATAAAAAAATTAGTATTTTATGATAAGAAAACTTAATGTCTAATCATCTGTGTGAATTTTTAGACTAAAACATCCTCATTATAGTCAATAATTATCAAATTTTTTTGTAGACAATATGTACCTAATATATAATTTAAATAATTACTCTCATTTTCTCAATTTCTTTTTTTTTAAACTTTTATGCAACTTTTATTTTTATTATGATATTTTGAATACAACTTTAATATATCTAGTATTAGTAATTATATGTTTTCAAATTTTTAAGTTTTGTTAATCACATTTCAACAAATGTCTATTGTTTAGTAGTAGACACGTTCTAAAAAAGTGTTGGACACGTTACCAAAGAAGTGTTGGACACGTCACCAAAGAAGTGTCCAACACATGTCCAAAATTAAAAATTTATCATTTAATTATGGACATAGATAAAAGAGTATCGGACACGTGTCCGAGAGTGTCCGAAGAGTGTCCATGTCTAACACGGATACGTTACGTTCTCGAGAGTGTCCGTGCTTCATAGCTCCAAAGTTTTTGGTGTAACTAATGGGGCACTTCAAATATATTTTACAGGAGCTATAGGATAGTAGGCTTCAGGCAACGGGATCCAATATCCCCTTCCCTTTCTAATAGTTGTGACAACATAATCTTAGCAGCTAAATAGGCATACACAAAACTGAGTTTGTTTATCATCCAAAATGTGGTGAGATCGCCCATTTTATGTTAGTTTCACTGATGACTTATCTATGTGCTACAGGGGAGTAAGGGCTCTATTCAAGTAATCAAGAATGCCCTTACTAAATTGGAACTCCTTGCAGGTTTAAATCCCAATCTACTGAACAGTACTGCTTATTTTGCTGGTGTAAATGACATTCAAACACTTGATAGTGCCTCTTACAACTACAATGCCGAGAATAGAAGACTGTGAGTTGATGAAAAAAATATTGGCTATGGTGAATGGCTGGACATCAATATCTCTCGAAGTGCCACAATAGAACAGTGCCTTCCTTAATTAAACTGCTTGTGACGCCATAAAAACTCAAAAAAAGCGTGTCACTAACCCATATTACAGTCATTTGACCTTTTCAATTGCTTGAAGAAACCCACACACACACAGAGACAGAGACGCGCATACACGCAGAAATATTTGTATAGATGTTGTATATTCATATTGAGAGTAAACACTGAATTATCCAAATCCAAGAAACCTTGCATAATCGAAAGAAAAGTCGACGCTATCAATCAGAATTCCCCAATCATCTAAGAATGCCGAGAGAGAGAGAGAGAAGTTGGGATGGTGAATGGACCTGCGCGAGCGCTTCCAGTGCCGACGTCGACGCCGAGGAAGATGGGGCGGAGGGGAGGAGGAGGGGGTGCAGTGGTGGTCATTTCGATGGAAAAGTTGTGGTGGTGGTTGTGGTGATGGTGGCCAAGGAGAGGTGTTGTATCTGATGAAGCTCTTCCAGCGCCAGACATTTTGTTATCTTTTTTCTTTCTCTCTCTACTCCCTCTTTCTCTCTCTAATTATTTGTGGGATTTATTTTGAGACTAATTGATATGTACGTGAATCATTTTAAGATATAAATTTNATACGTGAATCATTTTAAGTACGATATAAATTTTATAATTTAAAGGAGCATAATCATTTTAAGATTTATAAGTAAGAAAAGAGATATAAAAGTCTACGAAGTTACGATATGGTTAGAGGAGTTTTGTTTGCTAGTATATATACATAAGTATACTGTCACTTGGTTGCCAAAGGAACTGCACCAAGCTAATTATGTTTTACTTCATGTCTTGCTTCAAAACATTTAAAGTTTGGACTTGTGCACAAACTATCTCATTCTTGACACAAAATATTAAAAGAGCGTAGAAACACAGGGAACGTTAAACTTTTTATATTTTGTCATAGAAACCTATGACCAAAAAGACAAATATTTTTCATAGGACACAAAATTGTAAGAATTCTAATGTGTACCAAATGTATTGATATACAACATTACAAAGATTAAACATAATAAATCCGTAAGTATTTTGATATAAATGGTTGTAATTGAATAGCTAGTGAGTTGTTTTTCCTATTCATTAATCGTTAGCTTAGAGAAGTGACATTCACGACAAACAAACAAAAGGAAAATATGGGGGAATGGATTTAACAATGAGCAATGCAACATAGATTTAAAAAAATTGACTTAAAGTTTGACTTGATGATATGGTTGTTATATTTGTCATTGATTTAGATGTGGATTTCAATATTTATTGAGACCTGTTATCTATTCAATGGTAGTGATTCATCATGCCAAATTTTTAAATCAAATTTTTAAGTCTATTTAGCATTTTCTTTAAGAAATACTTCAACAATAAGCATTGACCCTTTTTTTTTTACTCATGTCATAGTTATTTTCTTGTATGAGTAAATAGAAGAATACTTCATGCCTACAAGTGAAATCACCATATGTTTTGGTTAGAACCTTTGTATTTAGGACTTTAGACCATGANTATGTCATAGTTATTTTCTTGTATGAGTAAATAGAAGAATACTTCATGCCTACAAGTGAAATCACCATATGTTTTGGTTAGAACCTTTGTATTTAGGACTTTAGACCATGAAAATTCTCTCTGGTGCTATAACAGTCACGACCTTGAGTGCAAGTGCCTTATGAAGTAATAAATCAAGTAACAACATTGATCCTCTTCACTTGTAAAATCAGATAGCATAACAATGTTTAGAAGTTTGGGTTAAGAAGCACTACCTATTCACATTGTTTTTGACACCATTTTTTTTTTTGGTGATATTGAAAATTCAAAAATTTTAAAAAGTTATTCACCAATTAAAAGTGTTGCTAGTTGTGGAAGTTTTGGAGAAAAAACTAAGGTTGACAAACAACATCTACATGTTTGAGAAATACCCAAGTGAAACATGCATTGCCTATCAATCACCATACATGTGCAACTTAATTTCTTCAATTGATTGAATTGAAATTCTAGTCATCCAAAGATCACACATCTCGTACACAACTACCAAGATCAACAAATAGTAGCCCACAGGTAAATTCATGGGAACTGATTGGATTGGAAATGAAAATCGAAAAAGAAAAGGAGTTCTAGAGATTAAAAAAATACACCAAAAAACCAGTCGTTTTGGGTGAGATCTCAATGTCCCTAGAGAGGGTATAAAAGTAGAATATTTTTTTAGACAAATTTGTTTTTGCCTAAACCATGTTACAAATTGAGGATTATATTTGTAAGATCTCAAAAAAAAAAAAATAATCAAAGTAAATATCTCACACACAAGAAATAAATCAAGAAAGAAAAATCAAGAGCTCCAAGTCTCCAACTAGACGAAACATAAAGTTGAATAGAAGAATAAGGTTGTGGCATCCAACAATAAAAAAAACCCAAGATTGGTTCAACTGCTACACAAAGAAGTCTTGCAATAAAGGCTTTTTAAAGCAATTAAAAAACTAATACGAATTCTATAACAAGACTGCATACCTATTGTAGTAGACCAAAACTTCTAGAATCCTATGGGGCTAGCATTACAAAACATAAATAATTTTTATTAAAAACTAAAAACTATGTTCCCAAAGGCAAACTATGACAAATGTGAGAATAAGAAATGATTGAAGCTGCAATAAGTTACTAATGTTATTGATTATTTATTGTAAGAATACGTAGAGTCTAAATGTTAGTGACTTTCATTGCATACTATTAAGCACAGAAAATAGGAGACCACTCCAATTCTAGCAAGTGATGCACTCAATTATTCATCCCAAAATTACCAGCTCCTAAAACCAACTATGGTATTGATAATATTTTTTAGTATCATAGCTTTCCACTACCATGGTTGGACCCCTAAAATCAAATTATATATTGCAATTATTAGTTTAGGATAAAATTGACTTTAGAATATCAATCAATGGTAAAACTGAAAATCCAAGATTTTTCAATTAGATGCCTTATGTATGTAATATATACATATACATATAGTATTATACATATATTCATATGAAAATGTGTATATGTGTGTGAGTATCGACATTTAATGAGATATGAAATCAATTGTTATAGCCTTCTCTGATCCCTCACCATAAAACTATAGTCGGAGTAGTTGAAAAGTTGATCATCTTTTTTGAAGGGTGTTTTTTGGAGATAAATAATAGTGGCCTTTTAAATATTTCATTAATTGTATAGTAGAAAATGATGATGTGTGATAAAAGTTTTTACCATCAAAGGATAAAATTGACATTAAAGGATTAATTAGGGGTGGAATAGAAAATAAAAAAATTTCATGTTAAGAGACTTTATTAATAGTATAGATTAGTGGGCGTGATTAGGCGAAGTTTTGTTGTTAAAGATTTGTCCTCTTCAGGAGTTTATTTCTGTAGATTATTTCTTTTTGGATTCATTAAAAATACTTCTTCTTCTTTTAACGAAATTAAAAATCCCTATTGATTTAATCGATTGGACATAAAGGGGACCGGTAGTAATATACACCCCGTCCATCTTCGATAACGGGTCTTATCTCGTCCTGCAGTTAAATTTTGATGCTCGTCCCTGTCCCTATCTCTATCCCCGCTATCGTTCTCACCCATAACAATTAATTTCTATAATTTTAAGAAAAAATTAAAAAAAACTATAAAATCTCACAAATAAATTTACAAGAAAGATGAAAATTCATTATATATCAAATGGATCAAACATATATATATATATATATATATATATATATATATATATATATATATAGGAGAAGTGTGATACTACCAGAAACCCATAAAATTTCATTTTATTATGCAAATGCACTTTACCCACATAATTTATGAAGCAGAAAAATTGGTTTTTTACTCTAGTGTAATTAGCTTCTGATAGCTCTGGTTTCTCTTGTGGGAATTTATTCTTTTGAGGGCATTAATATCCATGGTTATAAATGGAATTAGCTTGACAAATTTTCTCAGATTCCCAAGTGATGATGTTAGAAGAGCATGGGGCTCCATAAGGGACAAGGGCTGGACATGGTGGCAGATGGTGCCCCAAAAAGGCTCACAGCTCAAATGTAGCCTCTGTTCATTGACAAGAAAATTAAATTCTAAGAAAACAGGAAAATTTATTTCCCATTTTTTTCTCTCAGGTTGTTTCCCACTGCATTGACAGCCAAAAAAGAAAATAAAGGAAAAGAAAAGAAAAGAAAAGAAAAAGGAAAGCAAAATGATCTCTTTTGGGATCCAGTTCCTTTTGCTCTTTCTAAACAGCTTCGACAATCAGCAACATCACATCCCCAACCTCTTCCTTTCAAACCAGCTGTTGAGTNCGTATTTTAAAAAATAATTATTTAATATAGTGAGATAGATTTTATTAAGCGCTCGAATTTTATGTTTCATCGTACTTTCAGGCACAGATTATGACTAGTATACATATATTATAGGTTTAACAAGGTAGTGAGGGGCAGGGGTGGGATTGAGTTTCAATCCATCCTCGCGTCTATCCCCGCACGGGTTTGTATAGGTATCCTTGTATATGTTTACCATCCAATACGTATGGTCCACCTCCGGTCCAAATGGAGCAGGTTTGAACGAATATCTATTTTTTCTCGGTCCACTGTCAGCCCTACTTAATAAGATAAAAGTCTACTTTATAAAATAATTTGGACAAAAGTCCATCTGACTGCAAAAAGACATATAACCCCTTCAACATGAGGAAGAAGAAAAGTCCTCTAGATTTTGGAAACAAAAAAGAGGCGACTATTTATTCGACCTCAAATATCAAGATGACATTAATGTTGGATACCAAATCCAATATTCTGGTGATAATATGTCAAAATTCTCATTTTTTAATTTCAAAAATTTAGGGATTTCAAGTTGTAGGTCCATATCTTCCATATTTGCTACAATATAGATTTTTTGGAAAAGCAAATTGAATAATCT